AACATCGATACAAACGAACATCATTGTATTTACAAACTTAGTACACGCACAGGAGCCAAGAGTTTTGTCCTCTTGGTGGGCTATCATTGCACACACTTACAGCAGCGCATATATGTTTTATGTTACTTGTTCTGTGTTTTAAATGTTTTGATTTTCCCTTGGAATTTGGCAGGGGGTTGGTACCCCCTTAAGTGCGAACCGGTGTCACCGGCCTGCCTACGGGGTTCCAAGGTGTTTTTGTACTGTTACGTGATCGTCTTTTATTTTATTTTACCCGTGAACCAAAAAGCATTATGAGTAATATTACGAACCACATAACCCCATATTAGGGAACTGTTGTTATCTGACAACTTTTTCCATGCGTCGTCCATTATTTGTATACATCCTTGTCCATGTTTTGTTATCACGTAAACATAAGACAGAACATTGCTTTTTATTTCCTAAATTTTGTAAAATTGAAAGTGAGTTATTTGAAGCTTAGCTCCTTATTTGAAAAGAAAATGAAATGCAACTAACTGTCAAAAAAGTACATATACTCACCTTCACGTCTATTATTCCCCTTTCCTCAAGTTCAAAACCACCAAAGTCGTTCAGCCTTCTGTAGGCCTCTTGACTAACGTGAATCTTCCCGGCTGTAAACAAATTAATACATTCTCGATGACATTTTATAATGATATATTGTTGATTATTGTTTTTTGAAGAAAAGCAATGGATTAAACCATTCGAGTGATGTTTTGCACACTGTGCCAATAGTCTTGTCCATACACGTGATGTCAAACTATTTACATCTGCGAGACGGAGTACAATATTCGACATTACACAGAGGATGGCATCTCATTGGTTTATCGAGATTACAAGCTATACAACTGACGTAGTTTAATTGATTACAATACACTTTACACATTTGTCAGCGTAATGTTCGTTGTGACCAAATTTCGAACTTGATTAAAAGCTATAGAATATCCACCCGATCGCAGTGTTTGGTATACAATTTTATACAATCTTATTCGTGGAGCTTAGTATTATGAATATTCTAATCGCGGTATAAATTTAATGATGTTGATTTCAAAATGAAGTAACCTTTTACTTTATCCATTTACTTTGACAATTCTCTCGGTGGAAGTCAATTTTAAGTAGAAACTGATTAGATTGGACAAAAACATGTTTTCGTGAAACGACCAGTTATGTATTCGCTGTGTTTACAGTAGCGTGACAAAATTTAGCAGGAGCTACAGATTGAACTACTACTGTCTAAATCCACATCATAATTCGTTGCTGATAGAAACCCCCCGAGGTGAGTTACATCCGGGATATTTCACTAAGGGCAGCAGGTGGTGACACTGAAATTAATCCGTTTATTTCCAGGAAGTGAAGACTCGACGAGACAAGAAGAATTTCTCAATTCATCATGAAATCATCTTTTCCGCTAGTGGGATTCTAAATATAGATTAAACCGTGATAAAACGCAATGGAAAATCATTCACCGAGTTACATGTGTACTGTTATAAAACTAATATACACTTTATTAATTGTAATCAGAGTTGTCATTTCTATGATTCACATCGATGCTTCAATTCTCGTACAAACATCGATATTAACTAGTTATTGGAGCGGTAGAGTACGGGATTATGCATGGCGTCTACACCACGAATGCACGCGTGGCTTAAGCATTATAGATTCTAGAGTCGATTCGAAAAGAGATTTACATCGCCAAGTTTTAAACTGAAATCACTTTGTATGAATCATCTTGATATCTAAGATAATGATAAACTAATCCTTATCCGTAACATCGTAGGTTATTGCAGACTCAACTAATGTGTCTGTGTCTGTAAGTGAACTCACCTTGCCCGTGTGATTCCATTTTAGACGCTATGCTGACGGTAATTCCCAGCATGCAATACCTAGGCATGGTTGTCCCTACTACGCCAGCCACACAAGAACCTTAAAAATGAATCATATATTACATTAGTGAAAGTACTTGTAGGCAGCGTACACTCATTGATCGCCCATGATCAACAATGAGCTTTAAAGAACAGTGTATTTAAGAAATTGTACATTCTAACACACAGACAAGTAATACAATGTAGAATACAGAATTCCAACTCAAGATCACGACAATCGCGTCTCCACTGCAGGCTCACGTGTTACTTGTCACATAACACTCACTGCGCCACCCATTACACTTCACGAACACTATTATCACTATTTGATGGTTTGTGGTTTAGATGGCTTCCATCTGACCAAGAGATCTAATTCTATCAGTTGCACGTTCACCACTGTGTTTTCAGCAAACAATTACAAAGTCTTCAGTATGTATCCACTGACAGATGACGGAAAGATAATCATCACAAGATACAACACAATTTAAAGCAAAGGCACCGGAATCACTACTGAGTTTAGAATTTATGACATCAACTCTATGAGTGGAATATTCCAACCAATTAAGAGACATGATTACATTTATTTAGTAACGAAATATGTAATATGAAATAGTTTGTACGTATAACTACATAATGAGTTGCTTTGACCTCAGCTTGACAATCCATCATCACGAAGATTGGTATTCATCTATACAGACATATGCCAACATATCACACGAATAACATCGCGCATATAGTGTGAACATTAAGTCTAACTTGCTATACTAATCACTGCCATTTTAATAGTCTAAATCATGAAAAATTAAAAACTGTGTCCTTAGTGTAAGTTCGAACTGTATGTTGAGGTACGATAGGAAGAAGTAATGATTTCTAAGGCCTTGATGTCTGCTTCAGTCGTATAATACAATTATTATGTGTCCAATTATGGTAGCAAGAATATAAACTTATGTGCCGTTCTTTATTTTACACGGGATTTAAGTGTCAATAAATTACAATTGTGTAATGTTTCACTTTCTATTAATTCCATTGAGTTCACGACACATACAATCATTAATATTCTACCACGAATTAATAAAACATATTTAATACTTGTCTTACATCAGAAAACATAAAAACATCAATTGCTAGATTAAAACAAAAATTCCCACAAGTACTGATTATTTTGCAGACACACAATGTTAAAGGGCGGCAGTCGTCGTGCCGCGTCCTGTTCGATATGGGACTCTTAGCGACGTACACAACGCGTGTAAAATACATTGTTTATTTACATGAAATTCGAACACGCGCTGCGCGACGACCACCGCGCTTTAACACTAACGTTTTTATGCAGAAAAATATATTTTTACCATGGCAAGTGAAATCATAGTTATTAAATATTGCCCATTGTTGTTGAAGACACTACATAGTCTGTAATTTCATTCACCTTATTTCAGTCTTAATACAAGACAAATAAAATGCAAACATATATAGAATATAAAAAATAGCGTTTTTATAGTATTCATGTGTAATCGCTAAAAATTTAAATTACTTTTCCCCTTAACAAAAGTATTTCAATATGTCAAAAGCGATATATATGGCTACCATATATCTAATACTGTGATTAAACTAATATCAACAATCCTAACTTAACAGACCTCATTTGTTAATGGCCGCCGAGGTCTTGCTGGGCACGAGAGTGTGTCACGAGACTTGTTATTCTCCGAAATAGGGTAATCACTGCAGTGGACGCGATGACCATTTGTAAACTATTGGAAATTCGTAAAACGAACCCACTGGTAACATGTCAAGAATGAGGGCATTCTCATCAACTAGTTAGATATATGCATTATCTTTGTAACTGGAATCACTATATATTATGCGACTACTCACTCACTCGCTTAAGCACTCAATCACTTAATCAATAAGTCATTCTATCACTCGCTAAATGTGGTCGTCATTCAGTTCACACGTTCATAGAACTTTTTGTTGGCATACGCTGCATGGTAAATTCCTCATTTAAAGACACTAAAATAATTATTTATATTCCGTGAAAAAGAAATGCAGGTGATCAAAATGATCATGATCAAAACTGTTGACGACTAAGTAGCATTAATATGTAATCGTAAGTTTAATCGTGACTTCTCATGTCAACGAACGTTGTATTTAATAAAGTCTCTGCCAAGATGACGTATGTCTATATCATATAGTTCACAAATGACGTCACTAAGAACTATGTTATTGTAATGAAGACTTACGAATCGGATGAACAAATAGGTAAACGGAAACAAGACTAGCGAAATACGTACTTATAGTGTTGTAAAGTTGAAGGACAATTTGGATTGAAATTGTCGCAACTCTCTGCGCTTTCTCTACTATTACATTAGTCTTTGTGATCATTTAGTAACATGAAACAAAGATCTATACCCAGTTGCATATTTTTGTTTATAATCATAAAAATGTTTCATTTTTTTCTAATATTTTTTGCATCAGTACATCTAGAAAACTGACGAGACAACAAAAATTAGATCTGTCTCAATCAAATATCACGCGAGATGTTGGTGAATGTAACGTGGTTTTAACTCGGGGTCTAATGAATCCTCGTTGAAATACTAAGAACAATGGATCTACCTGAATGAATTCCGATTCGCATTTTCATTTTCTCCTGTGGTTTATGTGGAACTGATAGCATGGACACCTGTGTCTGCAGATCTAGTGCCAATGAAGCAATTTCTGAGACGTGTTTATTACCATTAGGTACAGGAACTCCTGGGAACGACACGGAAATAAAAGTATGGTTACAAATTGGATAGCTGCATTGGTATAGTGACATTTGTCGCCAGAGGTTGTTTGATTTAAAACGTAATTAAACATAGTTTGTAGTTACATGATTATATACTTCATAAAAAGTTCACAATATGTAAACAGATACGTAGGAATCAATTACCTGATGCCTGGGAAAAAATAACATACAGTTATTTTCCTGTCATACGATAGTTCGAAATTTCTCAGAGCAAACACTGAGATTATGTTTAACGCTTTCCCAAGTCCTTAGAGGACAATCGACTATAAACTAGGATAATCTCAAATATGCATACCATAACAAGAATTGTGAATACGTTCGCAGTTTTGTCAATGTAATTCAATGGGTATGTCACTTATTGAATCAATAATACTTGGTCTAAACTAATACTCATTGTTCCCATACTGCAAGGTAAGATGGATATTATTAAAACAGATCAGATTTCTTTGATCTTATAATCTGGTTTTATTTTATGATCTTTTTGGAAAAACCCGCATGAACATCTTTGGTCACCGGTAAATGTCAAGAAAAATAATTTAATTGATGAGATTGAAATATCAGAATATCTGCTATATGTTAACGATATTCTACTCACCGCGATACCCATACTAAAACTAAATATACGTATTCGTCACTTACCCGAAGTCACCATGTATGCATCGCCGATTGTTTCCACTTTGTAACAGTCATATATTGCAATACGCGCATCAAACAAAGAATACAGGGCATTCAACATTGCGACAACTTCCATCGGATTCAGGGTTGAACAAATAGTAGTGAATCCCACGATGTCAGAGAAATAAATGGAACAATCATCAAATGTTTCGGCAGCAACTCTCCCGGTGCGTTTGAGTTCTTCGCTAACTGCTCTCGGTAGCATAGAGTTTAATAACATGTCTGTTCGTTTCTTCTCTTTGTTCAGTACTCTAGACTGTCGTCGTAACAAGGATAGTAGTCCCTGTATTTCTTTCATTGACGAATTGACCACGGCTACCAGTACCACTGTCAGAATTAGCATGATGCAGATAAGTGAACTGATTACAATAATTGATAATTCTGCCGTCTCAATGTTTGCATCTAGAATGTTTATAACATTATTTGATTCTTCTTCAACGGTGCTAAAAATATGTGAAATGACAATGGACATATTTTCGAACCACATATTTTCATTTAATGTTCCACTTATAGGTTCCCGGTTTGCAATCTTTTGACGTACAATACTGCTTATATTCCAAGACGCCGACATTGTTGCTTCCATGCCTAGGGTGGCGTGGAGACTCTGAGCAGTTTCAAATTGTTCTTGCCCGCGGAAGTAATTATCATGAAAATACATAAATTCCTCGGTAGACAAAATGTGTCCTTGTAAGAAATATGCGCTTCCCAGCGCTCGCTGTATACCATATGAATCAGTTGACAACAGACCGTACCAGTAGAATGCAACTCGCGTCCAAAAGTTTGATATGAAAACCATATTTTCGAAGATTCTCCCAAATATCGTCCCAAAATTCTCATTAATACTATAAGTATAAAAATTTAGAACGTCATACGTGGTTACATTTGTAACCAATACATCTTGCCTGAACTCTGTAAGGTTCGCCCATATATGATGCCGACTTACCTCGTTCGCACCGTTGTCGGACAACACAATGGCGTCAGTTCGGTTATAAATGTCTTGCAAAAGTTCGTATACATTATCTTCACGACTATACAGGTACATGACTGTCAGACCCCTTTCTATCTGAACATTGGCCACGAGCTGCCTAGTTTTCGTGCTTTTTCCCATGTGTTCTTTAACAAATGTGAGTTCTTGCTGCAAAGTGAGACGCTCCGATAACTGAAAGCAGCTGTACACGATGAATATGAAAATCGGAATCATGTAGCATAAAATCACTTTGAAAAGCTGACACCTATGTTCTAGCTGGGATGGCGAGCTGTTACGGAAACAGCACTTGCCGGCTAGCATGGTGGAAACAGTAGTCACCGCACTGCTGGCAGTGTCGTAACTAGGCATGGACACACTACTTTGTTCGGGCTGCTTCGAGGCTATAGATCTATTTAATCGTCGCAAAGCACTCGACATCCTTCTGACGAATTACAATATACAATCTATCGCAGTTTTATGGTTGTACGATGAATCGGTCTTCGTAGTACTTCCTGAGAACATGTAACCGCCTCAATCACATTGGCCACCAATCAAGACATACACACATCGACTCTGTGAACAAACAGTCATAACATATCCTAGGGCATATACCTACAGACATGAGTGTACAGAAATAAACACATTTAAGGTGTGAGTTATTCTGTCTATCTCGCCCTTCTCATGACGCCACTTCCGCTCTATACACACGTAGTTTCAGCTTCGTTGTATGAATTACAGTATCTCATTTCTTCAATAACAACTACAAGTGTAGCCATGGCAACCATTGTAAATATTTTGCTGGCATTGTCATTGTAAAATAGGTTAATCGTGTTACAGGGCAGGTACAGTCACGAGTCTACCTACCTTTATTATATCGCTTAGTTTAAATGGGTAAGATTATAATATTTTATGTAAATTTGATATCGGGCTAACTTTATAATGTTCCAGTCTAGGCTAATACTGTACTAGCAAGAAAATTGTTTGACAAATCAAGAAGGATTCATGTCACGACGTTGACAGACTTGGCTGTAGGTAACACTACGATAAATACTCCGTTTTCGACATTGTGCAATTCTTTCGTTTTTACGCAGAAAGTACAGTATTTTTACAAAGTAAAATTATTTCTATTAAATGATTGTTCATGTATGAATTGTAGAGAATATAGCAAATATGCTTTTTTTTCTTTTACTAAACTTGTAATCGATAATTACGAAAATTATCAATTGTGTGCATATAGAATACATTTCGTTATGAATTATTCTTAATATAAATTTTCTTCTCCAAAGAATTTTACAATGTCGTAAATGTTTTTATGGTAGTGTTAGTTCAAAATGTCAACGTTAGTATAATACCAATGTCGCTGTGTGTGTGTGTGTGCTGTTTTTGTTAGACGGTATTGTGGGAAGTGTTAATATTATACACAAGATAAGTTGTAAACAATTCAACACACAGGATTCGGATGTGATAATGACATTGGAGTAGTCTCTCAATTATGCTACTGCTCGTGGAGGCCAGCGCTTATCCACTATTGTTAGACCTTGGGATTACCGGAATCAAATCACTAATCATATCCGATGGATTGAAACAAATAATTGGAACCAAGTTACATCTATTAGCGGGGTTTTACAGAATGATTAAATTTTAAAGTTGTAATTTAACAAGATAAGAATCTAATAAGGAAACGTTACCATCTTCATTATAATTATTCATTATCGATTAGCGGGAGTCCGCCGAACATAGCGCAGGGGGGAATCTTTATTATTACTTTCTAGTCTACAAACGTCTTTATACCCCAAGGGCAGTTACTTCGATGCGTGATATCGAAAGCCATGCTCCTACTGGTATCTGGATTCATTTTTTGTGCTGTGCTGTAAGATACAAATAATGAGTTGAGTTCCATGTGCTTATGTTAACATTAATTTATTTTGAAGTTTAATATGACCTAATTTGGCTTTTCTGATAGTGTCATCACATACGGTTAATGCAATTACACTTGTCTTGTTAAATATTATATATAATGTTTTTTTAGGGGGGTTACCTATCGGTCTGCATAGAGTTCGTTTTCAACAAAGCCGAAATTTCAGAAATATGAAAGTTACAAAGCTCGTGTAGCTGTGATCCCAATGCGATCGCCGCGGAAAATGCCCTATCACAATATTGAAGGGTTTAATTTGTTATAAACATTCACCGATTTATTCGGAAAATGTAAGCCAAATATGTAAAACATACATTGCATTTCACACGAGTTATGTACTTCGTATTAGACGCATATCATACACGACGCTGTGCAATAACAGTATCACTTCAAATGTACAACGTGCTTTTTACACCAGGTTACGGCTTAGGGCAGCACGAGATATATATTATGATGAAGTACACTCCCTGTCACATATACTCACTTTTTTTTCTAGTTAGTTACATGTATTACGTCATATCATATCAACGTAGTTACGTAAAAGTAATTATTATTATTATTATTATTATTATTATTATTATTATTATTATTATTATTATTATTATTATTATTATTATTATTATTGTACATTTGTCAATAATTTTGTTTAATTTCGTGGTATTTTACGTGGTATTTTCATCCTACCATATTAGGAAATGTGAATTCCAAATATGGAATGATTACGCGCGTAAGCGTCCTCTAATAAGAAAAACAAACATGGCTGCTACCAGGGTTTGACCGAACACCACACAAAGAAGTTCGCTGATTTTGTTCTAAACGTTTCGGCATTTCCATGATGTATCCTTGGACAAAAAAGATGTATAATAATAAGGTTATTACGAGAATACCTCAAAGTATTCACTCATACAGTACACCGTCGCATCGACCTCCGCTGCGCGTCGGTCGATATTTCCGCTGCACTGTTTTCGTGCATACTTTGAGGTATCCTCGTAATGACCTCATATTATACGACGCTAATTAAAAAAACAAGTATACAACGTGAAATGTTTTACACACGGTTAAGGCTTAGTGTAACACTAGGTAGATATTATGATAAAGTACTCTTTCTAAGCTCAACATATACTCACTTTTTTCAGTTACTCATATTACGTCGCATCATATCATACAAAAATAATTACGTAATCAACACAGAATAACGATGACTTATTTCAATAAATGTTACAGTTGAAATCCGTTTTGCGATTATACGATGTTAATTTCTAAAACCCCAGTATGCAAACGACTTTTAATTTTTTTTAGTCCATATAACTAAATGAGCACACAATGAACAAAATGTTCAGGTTAAACGTTTGCAAATAGCTATTAGATAAATGGTAAATAAATTTCCTAGCTATTGCACACATATAAAAAGCGGTGAAATTCGCAGCCTTGCCCTTTTATCAATAACCTCCTGGTAATAATTCACAGTGTTCATCAGACAAATGAAGCCTGCTGTGATCTAGTTTGTAATTAAGACCTACCAGATTGCTCACTTTTTTTATTTAAGGTGCGATGTCTTGTTTCTTTCAAAGAAACCTTACATTGAAGGTCCTCAAGCACACCGATAGATGTGATGATGAAAACTATTATTATACCATTATTAATTTCCGTGACGTGTATGACATATTCCCCAGTGGTAAATTGCATTTTGTGCTCAATAGTTTTTTTCAGAAATATGTGATTTGACAAACGTCTATGTCACTCGTCAAACTAAAAGCAGTTTATAATCCACAGCGAAATCAAATGAAGGCTGGTTCATATTAAGAAATTCAATGATAAAATGTGTATTTTTGTTTCTATGGTAACTAAGTCACATCTCTCAGCTTATTATGGTCAATAGGTGAGCAGCTGGCAAAAATCGTATAATTAATCACATACTTTCTTTTTGGAAGAACTTGTGGAATTTAATAATCATGGCGGTATAACTCTTAATTGTTTCTATGGCAACAAGATAATTCTCTCTCAATCACTCTTCATCAAATAATAAATTTCGATTTTGAAAATCGTGACAATACTACCATGATTGAGATGTTAGTAAAAAATTCTGTTTATTGGAACATGAAATGAGGTATATATATATCAATAAAGATTACTATCAATCAAATATTCAGAAAATAAAATCTAAAAGTGTGCAACTGATTAAAATTAGTCATATGCATTAACACAAATATGTGCTGCAATTCAATGTAACGCTGATATTCAAAGTCAAATACTCTCGTATTTCCTTGTATTCAAAGTAACAGGTACATATATAAACATGAAACAGAAAATTCGAACTCGCCACTGTAAGCACACATGTTCCCTGTTGCGTTTCAAAACAGTGTCTCCAACAAAAGACAGCTTGAAATAGCGTGTAGTGAATGTGCATTTATAATGACTAGATGGACAAGCACGTTTCGAAACTCTGGCGTCAGAAACAACATGGAGAATATAACATATATAAAGCCTAGTATGATCACGTTCAGAACGACTGACTCAGACACAAATCTGTTCACCAGCAGTGACGAACACCTGAGTGGAAGTAACTAAAATTGCAAGCACATGTACGAAAATATATACATGGAACATGAGATTCAATCTTGCAACTTGTATCTAATATATTCAGTGGAAAATGATTACATAACTTTATCAACAAAATAGCAAAGGCAGTGTCAATGTTTAGCCTTAGTAACGACGAGATTGGGACACTGTAGCCCTTTTAATATAATCCCCAATTGAAGAAACAGCTTTCGGTTAGATCAATACAAAATGCACCATCTACTTCTACCACGGAAGGGCATCACAGTTTGATGACCTGTGAAGTACCAACTCATGTATTTCCATTTCAAGTTAATCAAGCAGCTGTGTCATATTACAACCCATTAAACCAAACAACAAACACTCTACTAGACCTAGTTTTATAATGATCACAAGCAGTGCTCATATATTCAAACTTGTCTCAAGTTTGTTATTTCTGCAGGGGTGAAGTGTTTAATTTCGCGGAAATTCCCTCCTCGTGAATCCAAATCAATATATATTCTATTTCCGGTTTAACGCTACTATATTAACTCAATGCATCGTTTCTTTATATGATTACACATTTTGTAATTACAATAGTTAAACTAATTGAATGACTCGTTTCATTGTTATCTTCATATTATAACACATTATGTATTTA